TTGGAACCCAAATCAAATCAAATAGGGTCATTGATATGGAATTGGTGTTACGTGTGACAACCCACTAAAGCATGGTCAATCATGATCAAGAGCATTTGCTTTTGCACTAGCAGTCTTATACACAATTCATCCTGGGAATTGTTTTGGTGCTCCAAAATTCTCATTCTACACTTCGAACTTTCTATATTTAGAAAGAAAAATACACTTGTGAGGAATGTAAAATGAGATTTTTGGAGTGCCAATAACACTTCCCTTCTAGTATTGTCTGTATTAATATGATAAGAGCTTGGCTCCTTAAGGTTAAGGAGGAGTTCCTCCTTAAAATACTTCGTAGCCTGTTCTTAGAACTTCGTGTTGATGTTCAGAACCATTCATATTATAAATCACTCTGAAGATCCTTTTTGTAAAAAATAAATTAAAACTAAGATTGTTTAGTCAATCAATTGTAACAAATGTATATACAGTTCATAATGATTTTCCAAAGTTGTTCATCTATTTTTATAAAACTCGATGACTAAATGATATTAGTTTTAATTGCATTTTGAGATGATCTTTACATAGAGAACACTTCGCGTTTTCTTATCTTCTTCTCGTCCTATGAGTAGGTGTAGTACAAAAGGAGGGATTAGCAATAATGACCTAATAATAAACTAATTCATATAAATAAACAGTTCTGATCATAGACACAAAGTTTTGTAAATAAATTACGAGATATTTTATAAAGGAGTTTCTCCTTAATCCTTAAAGAGCCAAGTCTTTCTCTCTCTGAATAAAAATAAAATAAATAAAAACTTTTTCTTTGTTGTATCCAATCCAATCATACCAAAAGAGCCAACAAACGTTAAAATATTAAAGTGAAATTCTCTCCCCTTTTTTTTTCTTCACTTTCTTCTCTTTTATTTGAATGATCACAATTAAATCATGTGAAAAGGGAAAAGGTACATGAGGGGGCTAAGAACTTATTATGGGATGTGCTATCCACACACTATATTTTACTTTTTACACATTCTTATTAATTTTTGTCCACTGATTTTCTTCAATTCATTTGATTTGATGGCTGAAAATTAAAATGGTGTGTGAAAAGTAAAAAATGAATGTGTAGATATCATATCCCTATATTTATTTTCGTAAGAGGAAACGTGTGCGCATGCAAACCTACTTTCCTGTTTCCTTGATTATTCCTTAAGCCAGGACATGATAGATAATTAATTAGGTTACTTGCACTAATCACATAGAACAAATTGAACAAACAGACAAATTAAATTGTTAATTTCAATTAGGGACAATTATGCGTATTTATCCATGACAAGTTGCGTAACCCATCTGCATGTTCATCCAGTCCTATTGAGAACTTATAGAAAAATAAACGCCTGACAATCTGATGCTAATGCATTCTTTTCGAATCAGACAGATTTGTGGGTCAAACTTTCAGGGTATTGGATTTTTAAATTATAAATTTGTCTGATTATTAATTCGATGAAAAGGACATAAATTCACCTTGAGATTTGAGTTGGAGAGAGAGAAGGAGAATGAAGAGAGGAAAAAGCAGATTCCATTTCAATCTTTAGGGCTATAGCCTTAAGCTCTATGTAATGCATTATATTTTTATAATGCATTCTGGTGTGTAAAGTTTACGTGTAACTTGTTATTATCTGAAGTTATTAATAAAATGTCATGGGTAGAAGATTTATACATAATTTTATTACTAGTTTGAAATATTTCTGTTTCACAATAACATTATTTTTAAAAGACATATGTAGCTTGGTGTTAGTAGTAGTCCACAACGTCACGGTACTGGCAAGCTCGACCCATGACAATCTCTCTTTGATGTGGAATGAGTACGCACATGCATATGTACATATATATGGATACGCATACCCAATTTAAAGAGATTTTTATTTTAAGAGAAATTAGTTATGAGATTCACTTTATATCAATTCAAACATTTTGAATTGTTTATTTGTCATGTTACACCTAATAAATTATTCTAATAAAATATTACCTAATTCAAATCGTTGGAGACATTTAATTAAGTGCAAAAAATTGACGAACGTAGTGTCCAATGAAACATAGGAGTATATATGCTATTTTCGGAATATATATGTGTGTATATATATATATTTTTATATGTGTATACTTACAACTTTTAAGTGCAACTAGTTCATGTTCTTAAGTCTCTTCTCTAGATTTCCTAGTAACTATTCCTTGAGCAGTGTGGAGAGAGAGATGGAGCTTAGCGAACATGGTTTCTTAGAGGAACTGCTACTCGCTCCAAGAAGAGACGGTTGGAGCAGCCTCAACTCTGGATTGAATGAGTTATTTCCCATCAATGGATGGAGTTTAGATTCTTTTGAAGAGAACCCAGTTCTGGTTTCCTCACTTAATCCACAATTTGTTGGGTTCTCCACACAATCAAGCTTTGAAGAATGCCCTTTCACCACCACCACTACTGCCTCCTCCTCCTCCTACCCTTTTGTTGTTGATGGGCTCTGTGCAGTCCCAGAGATCAATGGCACTACTACCCCTCCTCCATTTCCACCACAAGATCATCAAGATTACCCTCCAATGGTGGAAGATGAAGAGTTTGGTAATTTTCTTGGGAGTGAAAACCACAGCAGCTGCTTGGAGTTGGAAGAAAGCAAGAACAAAGATAATCTCGGTACTTGCAAAGTTGAGATGGACCAGCAAGCAGCAGATCATCACATTATTCCTTCAGCTTTTTCCATGGGATTGTGTGGTGAAAAGAGAAGCAGTAAGTCTAAGAAGTTAGAAGGGCAGCCTTCAAAGAATCTTATGGCAGAGAGAAGAAGAAGGAAGCGCTTGAATGACCGCCTTTCCATGCTCAGATCAATTGTCCCAAAGATTAGCAAGGTGATCCAACTTTTGCCTTTGTCCAAGTTTCAATCTTCTTTTTATTTTTATGTTTTAAAATGGTGGCATTTCATTGTTTTTGTTGTTTCAATCATGTTAACTTTCGGGAAATGATTTTTGCACTCGCGTTTTTATCTTTTTGAAAGATGAGAGCGTGAAAATCACTAACTAAACTTTACTTTTTATCTGCTTCTGATGCTGCCCAAATTCTCCCTACTAGTTTTGAGAATTTTGTTGAAGGGTTAATTATTGTGAAAAATGGCAGATGGACAGAACATCCATACTTGGAGACACAATAGATTATATGAAAGAGCTTTTGGAAAGGATCAATAAGTTGCAAGAAGAAGGAACTGAAGAGGGTACCAATCAAATCAACTTAATGGGCACCTCCAAGGACCTAAGCTCAAGTGAGGTACTAGTCAGAAATTCCCCAAAGGTAAAATCCATTACTTCAATCTCTCTCTCTCTCTCTCTTTCTCTCTCTCTCTCTCTCTCTCTCTCTCTAACTTTTGCCTCATTGGATATACAGTTTGATGTGGAGAGGAGAGATGGAGATACCAGGATAGACATATGCTGTGCAGCCAAGCCAGGATTGCTGCTGTCAACAGTGAACACTATAGAAGCATTAGGGCTTGAGATTAAACAGTGTGTTATAAGTTGCTTCAATGATTTTTCAATGCAAGCTTCATGTTCTGAGGTTTGTCCGTAACTTAATTTTTTTACAATTTTTTTCCACTAATCTTTGGTTTTTAATAATTAATCAAGCGTTTCTAATGATATTTAGGGAGCTGAGCAGAGAAATTTGTTAAGTCCTCAGGATATAAAGCAAGCATTGTTCAGAAATGCAGGATATGGAGGAAGATGTTTGTAGGAACGAGGGATGCAAATTGCACAAGGAAAAAAGGGGTTGCTTAGAATTAAGGTGTGGATCTAGGACTTAGGAGGGAGATGGATTTTGACATGACTCCATGAGATTTTCCAAATAACATTGTCTATTTTCCAATAATTATGCATTTATCAAATGATCCATCTTGCAGCCTATTCTGTATTATCTACTCAATTTGAGGTATATATCTTTCAATTTAGGGGATTTTCTCGTATTGCATCAGTGTGACATCTACGGTGGTTGGATCTTTTGACCGCTGTATCATTGGCCGCACATGTAATGCTCTATTCATCATGTTTGTCATACATCAGAGCATAGTAAAACTTTCGCTAATTAAGGCACATGTGAACAAATCTTGTCTTCTTGGCCAAAGAATATGCGAAGAATATCTAAAGCGCCAGCAATGATAAAACTACACACAAGCCACAGCAACCTTAAGAATTCCATTCACCAACACAAAAGAAAAAAAACACATCTTGCTCACAGGATGTCATCAAATATTCTTTTCCCATCATGTCCAAGGCTTAAGGCCAAAACATTTGGTTTTTTTTCTTTCACTAGACATGATGTTGTGACGAAATGAGGATGGTACATGTTGAACAGATTAACAAAGGATTCGGATTCGGATTCGGATCATTTGCTTGGACTTTTGTATGCCGGGATCTGCTTCACATCCCTTCGATTGCCTTAATCGGACGCAATCCCTTACTCCCAATCAAACCAATCAGGGTTCGTTTCGTCGGTACGAGTGTCATGATAAGGACCATGTTTTCTCGACCATTTTTGTTTTGAACGTGCGATTTAGATTCACAGGTTGAAATTTTGCTATCATACAAGGGCGGGCAAACCTTCTTAGAATGACAAAGATTAGCAGAATTTAAGCCCAAATTGACGCAAAAATACACAAAATCAGATTGATAGGCTCATGTTAGTCAAATATTAGCCGACATATCTCAACCGTCACTGTCTTCCATTCTGTTACTTCTAAGATATGTGTTAGCTAAACTAAAAATTAGATGATGCTTACAAGTATTTAGTACAATCTCCGTCTAACGATCAGATATGGACTCCTAGTATAAATACAGAGTCACATGAATTATACCTGGCAGTAAGATGGTAATTGTGCTAAATACCTGTAAGTATTGTCGCTAGTCTCGAATTTTAAATGCATAGCAGAACTTCAAAATTTACAGAACTTGGATATGAATTTTAAACGAATTGCACGAGGATATGAAACAAATAATGAAATCATCCAAGAACTTGGATTATGATTAGAAAGAAAAAAAAGGTAAATATTTCACAGAATTTCTAACTTTCCAAATATGGAGGATAGACTACAACAGTACAGGTTCTGAAGTCAGCAATTGCAGAAAAATAATGCTACATCTCTCTTCATATGGTACATTTTTAAGGAAAAGAGAGGAGTTGCACTTCTAAGTATCATCTTCACCTTCCTCATCATCACTTACAATGCTATCATCGTCGAAATCAGAAGAGTCGCCGGCGACATTGGCCTGCAGATGTTGGAGTTTATTGATAGCATCTCTTGCATCAGAAACCAGGGCAATTTTTGCAGTTCTTACCACATCCACTTCATCAATTCCAGAAGTGGATTGTTGAGTGCATGTAGATGCAGCTTTTCTCTTTGCTTCCCTGGTATGTAATTGATCAATATATTTCTCATGCCAGACCTTGTTTCGGACCTGCTTCAGTACCAGGGGGCTAACGAGAGGTCTGCCACATGAGCTACTAAATCTCGACAGCAGCTTCTTATGACCTGAAGATCTTTGACTACGGTTTTGAAGAATTCCCTTTTTTACCTGTAAATTCTTTGGGGTAGAAGGTATAACACTCGCTTGACTCTCGGTAGATGAACCTAGACTGGGCTCAAGCACTGAAAATAGATCTCCCTCGTAATCTTGGTACACTTGCTGATGTTTTTGTAACAACTTTCGGACAGTTTTCTGGGCAAGATGACTCCTCTGTTTACTGCAAGCTGGCCTTTTAGACTTTGGCTCAGTGGGTTTAAGCAGTTTACTTGCAGAGAGTGAAAACTGTCCAAAGGGAGACAAATTTGTTAATGTGTTTGCCTTCGACCGGGTACGAGGTTGAGGTGGAGTTCTATGCTCAGAGTGGACTCTATCAAAGCACTCCTGTGCAGATTTTCCAGGCACCTGAGATCAATTTGTAGGTAACATAAGTTATCATGGATATATGCATGTCAAACGACAATGATACATGGTTACTGTCTCAAGAACCAATCCAATGAGGCCGCTAAATGCACAAGGAACTTTAAAACAAAGCATTGATTCATGGCTAAAAACTTCACTGCCAGCTAACTATTCAAACAACTGTTCAGGATAGAATAATGGAGAGAAATATGCAGTTGGTTGTAAGTAACGAAAGGTTAAGTTTAAAAAGCTTTTCAACTTAGGAACATGAACAACTGTTAAGGTTATCCATGCAAAATTAAAGGTTGAATGTAATCCCTATCTCATATTTGTATCATGTAGCAGAAGAACATTAAGATTTTATAAGTGACTCCAATGGAAACGAACGCGGTGTCAGTCTGATAGCTATCCTTAATTTTATGAATTTACTGCTCCTACTAAACACTTTGCTGCAAGTAATATGGTTTTTGTTATGAAAAATTAAATGGAGTGTTCAAAGTTCAAACAACAGAATGATGCTTTAACAGCCAAAGAAAAAACAACTTAAGGAGACCCAATAAGGTGAAAACCATGTTAAGCAACATCAAAAGATTGGTTACAAAAGAATCCTTTCTTCAACGAAAACTAAACCATTGCCGAAGTTAATCAATAAGAAATATTTGGTTGAAAGAGAAATGCCCATGATTATCAAGAGTGTGGCAACCATAGAAATTTAAAATTCCTTTTGGCATTCGGTCTAATTTAAACATATCTTACAGTTACTAAGAGTCATTCTATTTGGTTCTTAGAGAATCTTATTGACCTTGTCTTTTAGCTTTTAAAGAGTTTTCTGGCCTTTAATAAATAATAAGTCTTCAGTATTTCCAAGTCTTTTTGGTTCGATGTATGACGTCTATAAATTTTATTGAAAGGCTTTGTTACCTTGATATCTCCATGCACCTTTCTCCTCTTTACTTTTCTCCATCCCTCAAATTTCTCAAAAACTATACACAACAACAACAACAACAAAGCCTTTTCCCACTAAGTGGGGTCAGCTATATTTCTAGAACACCATTGCGCTCGGTTCTGTGTCACTTCTTCCATGAGATCCAAGTACTCTAAGTCTTTTCTTAGAGTCTCTTCCAATGTCTTCCTAGGTCTTCCTCTATCCCTTGGTCCCTGAACCTCTGTCCTGTAATCACATCTTCTAACCGGAGCATCAGCAGGCCTTTGTTTCACATGTCCAAACCACCGTAACCGATTTTCTCTCATCTTTCCTTCAATTTCGACTACTCCTACTTTACCTCAGATATCCTCATTCCTAATCATATCATTTCTCATGTGCCCACACATCCAACGAAACATTGTCATCTCTGCTACACCCATTTTATGTACGTGTTGATGCTTCACCGCCCAACATTCCATGCCATAAAGCATTGTTGGCCTTATTGCCATCCTATAAAATTTTCCCTTGAGCTTCAGTGGCATACAACGGTCACACAACACGTCGGATGCGCTATTCCACTTCATCCATCAAGCTTGTATTCTATGGTTGAGGTCTTCTTCTAACTCTTCGTTCTGTTGCAATATAGATCCTAGGTAGCGAAAGCGGTTGCTTTTTGGCACTTCTTAATCTCCAATCCTCACTCCTAACTCATTCGAGCCTCCGTTTGCACTGAACTTGCACTCCATATACTTTGTCTTTGACCGACTTAGGCGAAGACCTTTAGATTCCAACACTTCTCACCAAAGATTAAGCTTCGCATTTACTCCTTCCTAAGTTTCATCTATCAACACTATATCATCTGTGAAAAGCATACACAAAGGAATATTATCTTGAATATGTCCCGTTAACTCATCCATTACCAATGCAAAAAGGTAAGGACTTAAAGATGAGCCTTAATGTAACCCTATAGTTATGGGGAAGCTTTTGGTTTGTCCTTCATGAGTTCTTACGACAGTCCTTGCTCCATCATACATATCCTTTATAGCTTGGATATATGCTACTCGTGCTCCTTTCTTCTCTAATGTCCCTTGGAACCTTATCATACGCCTTTTCCAAATCTATAAAGACCATGTGCAAATCCTTTTTCATATCTCTATATATTTCCATCGATCTTCGTAAAAGATAGATTGCCTCCATGGTTGAGCGCCCTGGCATGAACCCAAATTGGTTGTCTGAGACCCGTGTCTCTTGCCTCAGTCTATGCTCAATTACTTTCTGCCAGAGGCTAGAGCTTCATTGTATGACTCATTAACTTAATACCCCTAGCTAAAGAGGGAGAAGTGGTTGTACTCAGAAACTATAGTAACCTAAAAAATTTCTCCTTGGTTTGTGCTTGTACTATGTCATTTGAAAAAATAACCTTTTGCCTAGAGACTTTGTAGCTATTATTGTTATCAGTTTTTTTGTTCGAGAAAATTTTGGTCATTAAACTCTCAAGCAAGAGAAGAAAGCTATGATGTTCATAACAAGGAATATCGAAAAGGGTCCTCTTCTTGGCTAGCCCCTACCCAACAGAAGTTATGGTTCTTAGCGAACACAGGCATTCTTCTATCAGGTTGAGTCTCATGTCTGTATTACAGTCAAATATTAAAAACCCCAAGTGCTTGGGTCTACAAGGTAAGTGCTTAGGTCAATTGAGGTAAAAAACTTCATACCAGGTCATTCTCAAAAGCCATACCTAAAGTTCAGTTCTTAGTAAGCCCAATTTTAGCCTACCACCATTCACCAGTACAATCTTTCCTGACAATTAAGAGGACTATTAGTCTATCAACCAGGCCTATCACCTACTTGCATAATCATAAGCCTTCATAAAATATCATACATAAAACCTTCTCAGGCTAGTACTGTTGAGTTCTATAAGGTGGACTACCGTATCAGCTCCAAACCATATATCTGAAATATCCAAAACCGCACCAAATTTGAGAAGAACTGCTTAAGACCAGTTCCCAGTATGCAACCAAACTTACCAGCATTGTCACTCATTGGGAAAAGAAATGCATCATCTACCTATATCTTAAAAATCCTCCTTTCGAAAGTTAGAGTGATGTTTTGTTCCACAATTGAACTACATGAATTTCAAACAGTATAATATCTTTCCCTCCGCTCTTTTGGCCTTTAGTTGAATTAGATAACAAAAGACTTGTTGAGATAAAAACAAAAACAAGATGTGTACTTCCAGTCCCACTATATCAACAAAACATAGGAGTAATTGTCAATGACTCAATATCAGTGACAAAGTTTACCATTTTTATTAATATAATCCGGATTGCAGACTTCAAAAATCATACTTAAAGACACACACAAAATTAGTACTCTTTTTCAATTTAATTTTAATATTAAGAGGCTAAATTCTACTTTTGATCCCGATAGCGTAGGACTGACTCCACTTTAATCTTACGGTTCTAATGTCCAGACTCCACTTTGATCCCGATAGTATAGGACTGACTCCACTTTCACCTTGTAATTTGGTAAGTTTTGAATGTTGTCCAGAGTATACATTTCCATCACATTCGTTAAGAAAACAATCAAAAGGGGAAGATAATTTCTTCATCGTGGTGTGGTGTGGTTCTATGTTGCTGTCACATTAGTTTTCCCAGCTTAGCAAATACAGGGGAACATCCTTTTCATCAAACAACGATGAAATGTAATTTTGACCATATTAAAAACTTTAGCAAACTATAAGGTTGCTTCTTTAAATTAAACTACAAAAACCGAACAATTGGGCATAACATAATTCAATCTTCTTATAGCTAGTAATATGAAACAAAACTAAGCAGCTTGACATGAAAACAAGATTTTCAGAATTTAAGGATCATAGAAGGAATAGCAACTCACCAGTTTAGAAACCTTCTTCCAGAAGAGGGGTGTTGGCTTCGCTATCAAATAAGCTCTTTGCAATACCAGTTCTTGTTCCTTTGTCCACCCTTGAACAACCCCAACACCTTCTTCCTCCCTCTTCCCCCCTTCCTCCTCCCTCTTTCTCTTCCTCCTAACCGTCGCTTCTTTATTTCCACCGTCTATCTCTTGCATTTTGCACTTTTTCAGAACTCTTTTTGATGAATCAATACGAGCTCCATCTTTTCCAACACTTGAGAACTCATCTTTCTTCAACGACCTGTTGTTTCCACTCTTAGATCGAGAACCAGTTGCCTTATCAGTGCATTGATCCACAACAGATTGCTCAATACACAACCTGACAGATTTTCTTCGACATTTTTCTGACCCAGAACTCAAATTTCCGCAATTAGCCGTCCCATTTTCCAATTCGCCCAATTTCTTCGAGATTTTCTTTGGGGGACCCTTACCTTCATGGACGAGGACGAGCTGCTTGTTCAAAATCCTTGAAGAACGTCTAAGACTCTGAAACCCCTCAACCCCATTGTTCAATCTCGGAGATCTCCTCAACCCATCGTAGGATTCACTCGATTTCTTAGAGCTGAGTGGGAGACTCGAAGGACGTACGACACGGTTGCTTCTGGCTGTGGGTTTGGGGGTTTTCGGATTTTCAGACTCCGCAGCGCTCTTTTCCGGGCGGACAAGTCTCTGACATTTCCAGAGAATCGCTGTGGACGGCTCTGCTTCTTGAGTTTTCTGGGGTTGGAGAAATCTTGGAGATCTTCGGACAGTTGTGCTCTGTTGTGCTGTCTTGACTACGGAGGCTCTCACGGGCATTTTCGCAAACACTTGGTGGGGCTTTCTTTTCATAAAAGAGACTTTCTTTTTTAAGAGGGAAGAGAATTTGAAATTCAAACCTTTACCCTGTTCTGCAGTCGTCGATAGAAATCGTTTTCATGAAGTATTCAATGAAAATAAAAGGAAAAATACTCTTAACTTGTTCGGCAGGTTTAGTCCGAACCTCATTATCTCATTACGAAATCACTCAGCAGTCGTCGCTCGAGTCCATGTCCGAGTTCATCGAGTCCAAGGCCATGCTCTCCTTTTCTCATTCTCTCTCTCTCTACCCATCCAGGTCTCTCTCTCCTCATCGGGTCTTTGGTGGTTCCAGTGCCGTCTGCTGGTTCAGTTGGGAGGTAGTGGGTTTGACGACCATGGTTCGATTTGGTGGTTGTGGTGGTTTGATTGGGTATGGGTGATGGTGGTGACAGTGATTCAAGTGGGTTGTGGTGGTTCCGGTGACGTTTCTAGTTTTCAATGGGTGGTGGTTGGTTTGACGGCGCTGGTATGACGGTGGTGACTATGGTGGTGGTGGTTCAAGTGATTGGGAATGACGGTGGAAGTGGTGGGTAGGACGAATCGTTTCTGTGGGCAATGGTTTCTTGCATAGGAAATGAAGAATACTGAATATGGGCTTTAAAAATGGGCTTTAGAAACAGTACCGAATGGGAAAATATTATAAACTGGCCTTATCCGGTAAGTCGACAAGTCGACAAGTATTAAAAAAGAGTGGGCCGGAAACAAGAAACCTTAAAACGATCCGACCAAGTTCTACTTTGCAAGTTATTCTCTTCTGGGCATGATTTGACAACAACAAATGGCTGAGATCTAACTAAGAACTCGTTTTGATGAGATTAATTTTGGATTTCAACTTTGGAAGAAGTACTAGATATTTGCTTTTTGCATAAAGCATTTAAAGTGTTTTTCTATGATCTATTTTGGAATTTTACTACGGATTGGTTTTAAAAATATTTTCACCAAAAACGTTTTCAATCATTTTAAAAACACTTCCAAACAAGTCATAAATATCTTTTAGTTAAATCCTAACAGTTTATTTGTAAAAAAAGCATGTGGGAGAAAAATTACCGCCTACTTTACTACCCCTCAAATTATCTAAAATTTTGACTTTGCTTTTTTTTTTTTTTTTTTTTTTTAGGAAAACTAATAAAAATGACTTGAAAACTTTGAGTTTTAAGGATAAGGACAAAGTAAATGGTAAAATAAATAGTACCAGGATTGAATTTTTAGTGTAAAAATGTGGTTTTTCGTTAAAATGAATAATACCGAGAGTTTTCGTTAAATTCCTTTTTTTTGTCAAATGGTAAAATTCATTACCAAATAAGACAAGTACAATAAAGGCCCACACACAAGTTAATTACAACAAAAGAAAATGCCACAAACACACAAAAGACAAAGCCACAAGGCAAGTCTTGGAGCCCAACCCACAAAAAACAACAATACAAGAGAACCTAAAAAAACTATTATTCCTGCAGCTGCAACCGTTGTCGCCATCACCAAAAACCGCAAAACGAACTTCACAATCTGATGCCTCCCGCGAGCACCTTGGATCACGCCATCAAGAACTCCAGAAGTGGTGAAGAACAAAGTCGCCACATCCTCCAAGGACCATCTCAAGTACCGCCATCACGAAACCAGAAGCACACAGAAAGACATAACCCATAAGCAACAACGCCAATAAAGGTGAACATCGGGAATGACCAACAAGAGCCAACATGGGCGGTGGTGCGAACACCTGAGCCAAAGCTCTACACACCCTCCCATAGATCTGTGACAAATCACGAAAAACAGAGATGGTACCCAAACAGAATTGAGGATGGGCCGAGAAAGGATGAAAGGGGATGATTAAGATGTTGAAGGGGAATGGGTTGGGGAGGATTGAGGAAAATGAGGATTGGGAATTAGAGCTCAAAATTGTAAGATTAAAGGCCAAAAGAGAAAAGGGAGGAGAAGATCGTGAAAGGCATGGACGGGGAAAATTGCAAGCTACCAAAAAAGCAAAGAAATGAAGAAAAGACAGGAGAGGCATGGGACTGCCACCGACCCTAGCAATAGCTAGGGACAGCGGTGACGCAGAGCGATAGAACCGAGGACTGCTCACATGAGGCGGTGACAAATACTCTCATAATAAGAGAGGATATCTCTCATAGGAGGAGAGAGACTTTGCTATCTTTTTTTGTCTCACTATCATATACTTAAACTATAGTTTTCTAATCACTTCCTTGCTTCTGTTAGTTGGACTGTTAATTCTTCTGTTAACAATGATGTGGTGGTACGGAATTCATTTATCCTTCACTTATCAAGGTCTAGCCCGAGTCCAAGAGCTTTGACGATGTAGGTAAGCTCCAATGAAAGAATATTGGAAGGAAAACATACTTCGAATATGAACTTGTTCCCATTCAATAGTCAAGAATTCTTGACTGCATCGAGCTGGAACAATCTATTCTTCTAAATACCTCAATTCAACGCCAATTTTCTACTGTTACCATATAGTATTCACCTCTAATCGGTGATAAATAAAGCATTCGTACTTTTCGTTTTGTCTCTCAAAACGGGCTTTCAAGAGACACTCAATAACCAATTTTTGAATGATAAGCTAAGGATCCTATAAGTCCAACATTGATTCCTTTAGACATGTCAATGGAGAAGTGCATCCATAGTGACTGTGGTGGATATCTAGTATATAAAAACTAGCAATTCGCCTCATTTTGGGCCCATATAACTCAATTTTTATCCATGAACTATTTTTTGCTTGATCCAAGAGTTTCGATGATGCTGAAATGCCCAAGATCCCGTCCAGATGGAGCAAAATGCAAATCGGGCCTTGATTTTGCAAAAACTATTTGCAAGGAGAAGCTAATTCAAAGGAAAATGAGTCCCTCACAACAGGTACAACCATGGGACCTATACCTCCGACACTGTCGCCCGGCACTTGCCAACTCCAGCCTCATTTGATATGCAAGTGGAACGGCTCATGGAATGGTGCCTCACATACGCATCGCCGACTATAAGGTGTGTTATAGCACCATATGTTTAGAGTTGGACATTCTTGCGGGCTTGCACAAATCGGGCCATCGTCAAAGTCGTCAATGTCTTGTCGCTCTCTTAAGGTTGTGAGGATGCTCCAAATTCACTTGTATCGTCAAGTTTTCTTCTACTTTTTTATATAAGGTGTTGATGCACAAAATTAGTGAGGACTTTGGTACAACAGAAAGTGTTAAGTTTGTGACCTTCGCTAGATTACTCCGGTCACTAATGTGGATAAGTATGTAAATGGAGCGACAGGGAAGCAAACATAAGATGTACGTGGTTCACCTAGATTGGCTACATCCACGGAGTAGAGGAGTTCTCATTAATTGTGAAGGGTTTACACAAGTACATAGGTTCAAGCTCTTCTTTAGAGAGTACTAGTGAATGATTTAGTACAAATGACATTAGGAAATATTGTGAGAGAATGATCTCTATTTATATAAGAGAGTTTCTAGTTTCATTCTGACATTGACACGTGTCGTGTTGTGATTGGCTTCTGATGTTGACACGTGTGGCGCTATGATTGGCTTCTGATGTCGACACGTGTCGCAATGTGATTGGCCTCCTGGTTGGAAGGAAAGTCTTATGGGTCCTTGACGGTATAACGTTGATCGGTGCTCAGTAGTTTCGGGATTGGTCAAGTATGGTACAAACATAAGGTATCTATCCCAACCTTTTAAAATCCTAAGTCTGTCCCTACTTGCAAGTTTTCAATCTTTTGATGTGGCTGGTGCTCGGTTAAAAATTATGTTAAATGTTGCTCGAACATGTGACTCGACTTGATAGTGTGAATTTGAATGCTTTAACTTTTCGTGCATGAATTTTCTAGTTTATCAACTAAAAAAATCGTGCACGAATTCATGTCATTGAAAATCTTCCCTGAATAAAAAAAAACCCTTTATAAAGGAGGGGTAAAATGCAAATGGTTTGTAACTTAGTTGGTTAAGAACATTCACCCTTACATTCGAGGTCCCGTGTTTTAGAATTCTCCTCCCCATAGTTTAATGTAGAAATCTTATCGTTTGAAAAAAAAACGGGGTCAAAAATTTTCTTTGTTACTTAAACAAACCATTAATCTTATAATGTCATCTAAATCTTAGGATTAAGATTCTCCATTTGGATGGACCCTTATTATGCTCTCCATTACAAGGCAGATGTAAGGGCTAAATAATGTGGATTTGCTCACCAAACTTGCAAGTGATTAGTTTATTACTTGTTGAGTTAATAAAGTATGGGGAGTACATCTTCAAACGGGAGTTGAAAACAAAGGTATAAGATGTACAACTTTCAGAATCTTCATCCAAGCGGATTCAAGAAATTAGAGGATGTCTATGTAGGACCAAGTGTCCCACTCATGCAACTTGATAAGTTCTTATTAAAATATTATTTGATGAGAATATGCATACTTTCTTTAATAGGAAGTAGTACTGAGTAATACGGAAAATGAATAGTAAAGATTAAAAGTAGAATATCTAAAATTGTGAAAATTAATTATAACAACTAAAACACTCGCAGCAAGTGATGCATAGTAGTAAAGTCAACATCCGGGCAACCCATGTAAAATAAGATATCCAGAGCAGATTGGAAGCTGCCAGGAGAGCATTTTGGTTGGTATCCACATCTCTTTCGAAAAGAAAAAAAAAATCGCAAGAGAGAAAATTAAAGAAAGAAAACGTTCAGTGTTCATTCTTTTTATGACTAAAACCTAACTTTGTACATGGACTTGCACTATTAGTACTATTACTGATCCTTGGACAAAGCAGCCCATGATGGTTTATTTGTGCCTGCAGTGCCCCACTACATCAACATCAGCTTATTGAGTTGAGCTTGAAGGAGCAATGACCTAATTTTCCCAAATGGTAATGTTCTCTGCCCTTTTTTCTTGATGCAGTGATGTCCTAATAGGGCTTGTTTTCATTTTCTTTTCAAATCCAACTTTTAACCTCGCAATAGAAAGGCGAGCGTTATTTAGCATGAAATGAATGTCAAAAGGAAAAGTCTTAACTGTTGCTAGTTGCTCATATTCACTGTACTCAACTTCAACATGCATCAATAATTGTCGATTCTTTACGCGCATTAATTAGGAATAAGATTTACTCCCGACCTCTGTGTTCGGAACTTACAAATCGAGAAATTCAGACCGTTCAAGAGTGAGAAGAGATCCGTGCCGTTCCCCTTATGAGGAGATTTTTTAATTCATGGAAGACTCGTTTGAGTTCATGAAGGAATGTAGTTCAATTCCTTAATTTTGATTACTTAATCTTGTTGATTGTACCAAGATACAAATTTGAACTAATTTCAAGGATGTACTGCTGAAGCAACTTCTTTATTCATGTAGTCGTGAAACATGCATGCAGCTCTTAATTTCCATGGACCATGTTTTACTATATAATAATGGGAACTTTCAAAGCTCCCGGTACTGTTCACTTTAATGAAAAATCATATTTTTACATTAAAAAGTCAATCATGATTAGGGACAGAGCCATAAATTTTTTTTAGTGGGGTCAACCGAAAACAACTAAGAAACTTAATTATAGTATGGTTATACGC